TTTGTAGGAAGAGTAGATCAGGTCTAGGCGACACCAGATCTGAAGTTTGGCCTTGAACCAATGGCTCACAAGAGAGATCTAACAAAATCTCTCCTGCTGGTTGCGCAAAGAAGACTGAACAGAAAAGGGTTGATTAAAACAGCCCTAATATGACAGGATTACTGCTTCTAGTGAGTTTCACAAGAGAGAGAAAATAGATCAAAGAGCAACCTGCTCTGATACCATGTCAACACTTGTCTGAATAGAGAGAAGAAATAATCTTAGAGGTGTCAAGAATGAATGACCCCCACCTCAAAGAGTCTCTTATATATTAAAAGATATGTACAATTACAAGAATGCCCATATAGGGCTGGAAGAGAAGAAGAATAAGAAGTATAAATAATGTACATCAAGGACTATACTAATAAGATACATCAAGTTATAGAGTCTCCACAGTTATCACAAGTATTAATGCAACCATGATACACTTCCCAACAGAAAATACTGACTCTAGGAGGGATGGGAGAACACCCAATTTCTTTAACAGGGAAAGAAGAGGAAGGTGGAGGTGAGGAAGCTACAAGGGAGTAAAAGAAGGATTTATAGGTGAAAGTCCTAGATGAACAAAGGCTCCAGACCCTGCTGTCCTCACCTCCAACCCCAAGAACCACTGGATTCAATAAATAGAGCAAACCAGAAACAGGGGGAATTTGAAAGTTATATTCCTTAAGTTTGAACTTTGAATTTTTACATGTGATACAAAGCTCTTAGGAAGATCCCCACCCTTAAAATTTATGCTTTTTTAATTATAATCTGTGTAAAAGGGAACAAAGAATTTTTGGAGAAATATTAAACTCATGGATTTATTTCTTTTCATTTAAATTTTTATGAGCAACCTAGACATCCAGTTTTAAACTTTAAATCATATTAATGTAGAGAACTAGGATCAAATCCTGGTAGCCACATATAGTAATTACTATTTCTTTTTATCTATAACTTGCTATCATTGATCAAATGGAAAAGGGGAATAGTTACTTTGTTAAGAAGAATCTTCTATCATATTAGAGTTACATTGTATGAAATACTGTATAAAAGAAATGGTAAACTAGTTCAGGTCAAAGTTTTATATTTTGGATTTACTTTCTTTGAGGTGCTCCCAAAACACCTTGAGGCGTATGCCAGAGGCGCTGACACCTCTGAGGTGTATGCCTCATGCACGTTTTTCATGAGGTGTGCTAGAGGTGTACGCCTCATGCACACATCATATAAAAAGGCTGAAAAAAAGAAAAAAGAAAAAAAAAAAGGAAAGGAAAAGAAAAGAAAGTGAAGGGAAAGAAAAAGAAAGAAAGAGAAGAAACAAAAAGAGAAAAGGGTAAGGAAGGGAAGAAAAGATAAGGGGAAAGAAAGTGGTCTGCCCCGGCCCCTTCAGCTGGGGGGCTTCACCCCCTGCCCCCCCCCCCCCCTTTTTTTGATCAGCAAAAAGATTTTATTTAACAGAGAAATATTGAAATACAGTAGTTATAGGTTGCAGAAAGCATTAACCCAATCTGCAAACACTACAAAACCCCCCCACCCCCCTTTTCCATGCAGCCCAATTTGTTTTTTGTGTCAGGGGGGTCTTGCTCCACTCTGGCTCGCTCGCCTCCGCTTCGACAAGACCCCCCTTTCAACTAGTGCTATGCATCTTTATTCTTCTTAATATAAAAGATTTTTATTAGAAATAAAGAAAAAATGAGATCCCCCCTTCCTCTTCTTCCTCCTAACCCCCTCTTAAGGAGGCTTACGCCTCTTACGTTCTGAACTATACGCCTCACGCCTCTAGGTAGTGGAATGCCTCACGTCATGCCTCCACATTTTAAACATTGCTTTCATTCACATCTTTTAAATTTTAATAAATTAGTTAAGTTCTTTTTGTAATAAATAGTGTGTAAAAAGGCCATTATCCAATGTTGGTCCCAACTATCTAGGTCTTGGGAGTGGTAGACTAGATATGGTCCTAGGCTTTGGCATATATTTTGCATGAAGTGGCTGCTTTCAGATTAGAGCATGTGTTCTCACAATTGTCGTCGTCGTCCAAGCCTTATCCCAACTATATGGGGTTGGCTACATGAATCCTATTTCACCAATCTGTTCTATTTAAAGCCATATCCATTGTTAAAATCATTAGTGCTTAAATACTTTCTTACTACTTCTACCCATTTCCTTTTTGGTCTACCCCTAGCCCTTCTAGCCCCTTCAACTTGTAACAAATCACTTCTAACTGGTGCTGTTGATGGTCTTCTATGCACGTGACCAAACCATTTTAGTCCACTTTTTCTCATTTTATCACCTATTGGGGCCAAGGTTCTAAATGTTGGCACAGTTTAGTATGTCAGATGGGGCGTATTGGACTTTATATTAGGGCACTTTATTTTGTTTTTTAGTTTTTTTTTTTTTCAAACCTGTTTAGGTTGGTATAAAGCCTGTCTACCCCTTGAAATGAGTCAAACCCCAAAACACCTGTTATTTCATGTATTGATGACCCGTCAATATGATACGTATCGGTCAATACATTGAAATATTTTGATCTTTGATTGGGACTACTCCTAGATTCCTATGGATGACTTCATTCTTGGTCCTATCCTTTATAGTTTTTCCGCTCATCCATCTTAGCATTCACATTTCTGCCACTCATTTTCTGGAATATTGTTTCTTGACTGCCCAAGATGTTGCTCCATACAATGTAGCTGGCCTTACAATTGTTTTATAGAATTGTCCTTTTAGTCTAAGTGGTATTTGCCTATACATAAAAGTCCAGAGTAACCCCTCCATTTTGCTCATCTTGCTCTCTAGTTCTTTGGGTGACATCCTCCTCAATCTCTCCCTTATTATAAATTATTGAACCAAGGTACTGGAAGTGGTCACATTGAGTTATCTCTTGGTCTCCAATCCTAAGTGTATCCTGATTATGAATTGTTCTCACAATTGTCCAACAAAATATATTATATACTATTGTACTCCCTTTTTCCTTTTACTAAAAAATATTTTTCGTAAACAATTAAATTAAGTATCATTTCCAAGGAGCTGCTAAGCTTTGTTTTGATGGTTCCTCCCTTGAGGTCTTGACCCTTTAGGTATAGGTAGAGCTTTCATAGATAATTTGTGCAACATTATCATGGTTTCTTTTTCTTCTTGGTAGGTAAAGAGATTCAGTAAATATTGAGGTGCCCAACCAATGTATATGTGGTGGGTAAATAAGAGGAATTAAGAATTCAAATTATGAGGTAAGGAGATCCAAGTCTGAAGTAAGAAAGGTTACAACATTAAAGATAAGAGAGAAAAGAAAGAGTAGAGGTACTGAAAGCAGAATTGTGTGCAATGTTGTAAGGACTTGTGGTTGGAACAGCAACTTCTTTGTTCTTCTTACCCCCTCTTATTTAGGCTTACCTTGGATAAAGAGGCCACTAGAGGAGAACGTGATCTTTCTTTCAACTTCAGTTTTCGTAGAGCCTTGTCTGATGTAGAATCTCAAGACATCTCTTCTCTTCTGTCCTCCCTTTCTTCTGTTTTCCTGACCCCTTGACTTATAAGAGAATTTGGTGACCTTAAGCAGATGGTGAGTTTTCATCAAATCCTTTTTCTATAAGTTGGTGGCAGAGCAACTAACTCTCCTTTTCCCCATAAAATGATCTGGCTTTCTGCAGTCTCCTAAGAGTTTTTTTTTTGTGTGTGTGTGCGTGTGTGGGAGGCTTCTTGTGGCAGCATCAACGCTTTCGATATGATCTTGAGGAAGAGGAAGGGACATCTTTATGTTGCTCCCCATGTGTGTGTTTTGTGTTTGAAAGAAGGGGAGTCCTGTTGCCATCTTCTCATAAATTGTGAAATTGCTCAAAGCCTTTGGCAATTTTTCTTGGATACCTTCTACAGTTGCAGCTTCAATTGGGTTCCTCCTAAGTCTGTGTCTGAGTTCCTAATTCAATGGCCTGGTTGTACCTTGAGTAAAACAGGTGTTCTATATGGGAAGGGTGTGATCCATGCGGTGTGGTGGCGCATTTGGGAGGAACACAACAGAAATCTTTGAAGACAAGTGTTCCTCCTTGGAAGAGTTAAAAGGGAGGGTATTTCTGGGTCAACTCCTGGCCGAAGGTTACAAATCTGTTCAGAGGCATTTCTATGGGAGATTTAGAAAGAAACCTGGGCAGGTCCTAAGCTCCTTTGGTCAGGTAGCTGCTCACACTGCTCCTGTGACTCCAAGATCCATTGCAGAGTTCATTCTCCAGTTTGATAACAGCTGTCTGAGCAGGCTAAGCCATAGGGGACAGGTGAGGATAGGTAGCAGAATTCTAACCTCCTCTGGAATCCTTGTTTGGGACTTTAGTAGGCCCCTTGAGGAGGCTGAAGCAATTGAAGCTGAAGTGGAGGCTTTGCTGGTGGGGCTGAGGACTGTGATATCCCTAAATATCTCTTCAGTGGTAGTGGAAGGAGATTCAACGGTTGTCATCAGTTGGATGTTAAACCAGCAGGAGGGGCCTTGGAGATTCTCCCATCAGCTCAATGAAATCAGAGAAATTCTGCCTCGGGTGGTCTGTACTTTTAGGTGGATCCCTCAAGAGTTGAATTCTGTGGCAGATGTTCTACCTAAATCTGGGGTGGGCAGGGATTTTTTGTATAATGACAATTTGTTTTCTTTCTAAGTGGTTGGGAAGGTATTTTCGTTCTTTTGATCTTTTTGAGCGGTTATGGTGAGGTGTATCTCTTATACATCTTGTATATCCTTCCCTCTTTTTGTTAATGAAAGTTACCTTTTTCTCAAAAAAAAAAGTTGATAATGCTAGTAATAACATCAATTATGTATTCCATATTTTACTAATAGAGCATAACTAGTATATTAGAGGCCCACTGATTATACTCTCGTTTCTTTTTTTTTTTTGGTCTTTAATATTATTTTGCAGTTGTTTATTTGTGAAAAAAAAATTCTTGGGTATTTTTTGACATTTTTTGCTATACATGGTATACTTTCTCATTTCTTATATTTGTTTCAGGAAACAATAGTTTGCAAATCTGTCCTCAATGAGTTTGCAGTCAAAATAAACCTTGAGAAACCAATATATAAAACCACTCAGTCAGAAGGGCAAAACCCAGGATTTATCTCTTCTTTGCTTTTCAATGGTAAATCATATACTGGTTGTGCAGCCAAAAGCAAGAAAGAAGCAGAACAATTAGCAGCACGCACTGTTATCCAATATTTTCTTGGTATATTTTTCCCAGTGGTTTAACTCATAGTATATATATTTGTAATTTCTTGCTAACATTTGAATGTGCTCTACAGGTAATCCTGTGTATGAGACTCTTCTTTCTGGAATTATAAAATCTAAAGTTAGAGTTTTTGGCATGATGCATAAAGTCAAGGAATCTGGGACTTCTACTAGTGCTTCTATAGTGCAATTGCCTACAACTATAGGACAATCTCAAGGACACAATTCGAATGCTCCAGTTATAAATCAACTTCATCATGAATTTAGGAAACCAAAGCAAGAACAATTAAGTGAAACCAGTGCTGCCTTAACTGGAAATGTCAATGATAGACCACTTGGTAGCAGTGTGGCAGGACCAACTGGTTCTGGGTATGAGTCTGCCTATGTGCAGCCTCCTGCAATAGGCTGCACATCCCAAAACATGGCTGATAATACTAGTATTGGTACTAAACGCAAAAAGAGCAAGAAGGGCAAGAATGCAGGACAAAAGAAATTATGCGAAGGGTATGTTAATACTTTCTTGTCTGTGCAGTCTAAGCTGCAAGTTTTCTTGATCTAATATGCTTCTGCTACATTTCCCATATCTGATGTATTGTAAATTACTTTCTTTAACTTGCATGTTTGTGAGTTTACTGGTATTTCTCTGATTCTTTTAGATCCTGGGTGATATATTGTGGTGAGTTAGCATATTGTTATGCCATAATTTGTTACAATGGTATAATTTGGCACCTCTCAGTTTCTCTTGCCCCATTCCCTCCACTTTCGTATGGACATTTTAAATGCACCTGTATTTTCCTTTATATTTATATTTTGGAATTACTAGACCTTAACCTGTGTTTTTCTTTCCATTCAACTATTTATCTGTTTTCATAAGTCTTCAGAAGCTTGAAGCCTTGTACATGCATGGAAGGAAATTATGTCATTTTTTTCTTGTTTATTTTGATCTCAACATAGTATAGGGAATCCAAGGCTGTTAGGTATTGGGGGAGTTTTTAGAAATGAGGAAGGGAATGTTTTAGCCATTTACTTCTCTGTTTTTAGGATTCCTATTAGGGAGGCTAAGAAGTTGGAGAGATTAATGAGAAACTTTCTTTGGGAGCCAAGAGAGGAAAAAAAGGATCACTTAATAAATTAGGGAATAGTTTGTAGGAGGAAAGAGGAGGGTGGGCTGGGTTTAGGGAATTTAGTTCTAAAGAACAAAGCTCTCTTAGGAAAATAGTTGTGGAGGTGGCCTATAGAAAGGGAGAGGCTGTGGCACAAGGTGATAGCTAGTATACATGTAAGTTTGGGAAATGGATGGGATGTTGGTGTATCGCACTATCGCGTCGAGCTATGTTGGCAACTCCTTGGAAAGCAATTCAGAGTATCCTCCCTCAATTCCTCAATTTTGTCAGGTATGATGTCAACTCTGGCACTTCTGTTTTGTTTTGATGGCATTTGGGTGGGCAATTCTGCTCTTAAGTATCTTTTTCCTTCTCCCTATTCCCTTTCTCTTTACAAGGAAAAAGCTATCTCTCACTTTCTTCCAACACTTGTTTCACCTTCCTCTCTAAATTGGGACTTTGGGTTTCGTAGGGGCTTGAGGGATCATGAACTCCCTTGTATTTCAAACCTTTTGTCAATACTTGAAAGTGTTTTTCTGGACCCCCTCAGATCTGATGTGAGATTAAGGGAAGACAAGATTGGAATGTGGAACTATAGAAATAAAAGGAAAAAAATTCAAATGGCTGGCTAAGGACATTGAGATAAAATGCAGCTGGGTGAAGAGAACCGCTAACTCATTTGCGGGGGAGTTGAGACAGTTTACCTCCCTCTACTTGTATGTATACACACACACACACACACACAAAAGTTGTAGGCATTACAAATATCCCTTGGGCCACTTTGAAAGAGAGAAAGACATTACAAAGCAAGCCCAATGCACTTGGCTTCTACTAACTAGGGGTGTCAATTGGACTGTATCTGATCCAATCCAATACGAGTCCATTACAAATGGACCAGGTCCAATCCAATCCAATAAATAATTTGGACTATTAAGTTTGGACTGGGCCAATTCAATGTATTATTGGACTGTCCAATCTGTCCAAATTGATCTTGATTTGGATGGGGTGCAACCCAAAACCGGGGTCCATTGACACCCCGACTAGTAACCCCTTGCTAGCCAATGTATCAGCCAGTCCATTTGCAGATCTAGGCACCCAATTGATCAAAAAGTTGTAGTCATTACAAACATCCCTTGGGTAGGGTCACGAATACTACCCTACCACTTTGAAAGAGAGAAAAGCATTACAAGCAAGCCCAATACAGTTGGTTTCTAGTAACCCTTGCTTAGCCAAAGTATCAGCCAGCCCATTTGCAGATCTAGGCGCCCAATTGATCTTAACAGTTATGTTTCTTACTAAACTTTTGATCCGCCTTAATTTATTTCTGTATCCCCACACTGTTTTTTCACTCTTTTCCAACCATCCAGTTACAACCTTGAGGTCTCATTCAACAATCAGATTATTTAAATTCATTTCCTTTGCCTGTTGTAGTCCTGATGGACTGTGATTGCCTACACCGCTTCCATGAACATTTAGTTTGATACAATCCTTCTCAGGCAGTGTCCATTCTTTAAGGACTCTTGAGTTTCTTGATGAGCTTGCCACCACTTCTCCCCACTTCCTCCACAGATCATGTCAGTAGTTACAGAACAGTTTCATGGATTTGACCCAATGTACCACCCTGGCCATTATACATTTGAATACCACTTCTTGACTCCCTTCCTGCTCCTTAAAGATTCTCATGTTCCTTTCTCCCATATTGTCCATACAGTTTCTGCCCGAGTACACCTCTACAACATCCTTCCCTTTTCCTTGGCCATGAAGTTGTTCCTTGTATTTGATCCTATGTTTTTGTCAGAAACACACTGATTGCTATTAGGGAAAGTTATTGAAGAGATTCTTCTTTGCCTAGGCTTGCAGGATGTATGTGCCATGGAAATGGCATTTTAATGTTATCATTACACTTCAGGCATCATAAAAATTGCCTATATATCTTGTTAACTTGTCATGTTGTAAGATATGTGCTGTCAATAGGTTGGGTCTGGTCGTCTAGGTCAGGTCAGGGTAAACTGAGTCCTGAACTGATAAGAAGACACACAGACCCAGTTTCAACCCAGATCCTATAGAGTCTGTAAGTAATAGATCTAGAACTGGCCCTTTTATTGTCCAAGTACTAAGATTAAAGACCTGCCAGTTATAATTGGGTCTTATCAGGTCAGACCAGATAACCCAACTAATTATAGGGCCAATTTGCTTGCTATCTTTTCTCAAAATATCCTATTATCTCATAAAATGGGCAATTTTAGACATTCTATATGAAATATTACAGGTAAACCATGAAAAACATATATAATGATACATCATACATGTACTGATGATACATGTATGATGTAACATCTTACATTACATCATACATGTACTGATGTAACATCTTAGAAGGTAGTCCAATGCTGATTCTATTATAATCAATGCTTAGAAAACATACCCAGAACTGACCCTATTAATAATTGAGGTGTGCAGGTTATTTGGTCTTGTTCTGTTGCTGATTTTCTATGAACAGGAACGCTTACTTGAGGCTGGAGTTTTTTTTTTTTTTTGATAATTAACAGGGTTTCATTTCATGAATAGAAAAAGAAAAATATGTACAATGAGGATCCCAAGGAGAGGTTGATTAACTCTCCACTATACAAATATTTACAATTGAACCCAATACAATTGCTCCCTGTTAACCCCTTACTTGGCTAATACAATTGAACCCAATACATTTCATGAGAGTCCCCTTCAATAACCACCCTTTCTAAGTTAATCTCTTTTGTGCTTTCAACTCTATATAGTACAGCAAGCAGTTTAACTCTTGTAGAATCCCCTAGACCAACAGGACCTGAAATTAAGGATATTATATTACCATATTTGTCCCTAAACACCCCTCCAACCCCCGGGGGCCTGGGTTACCAAAACTGTTTCCATCAAAGTTTAGCTTTATAAAGCTATCTTTGGGTGGTTCCCATGCTTTTGAGGCATTATGTTTTTGTCCTCACTGTTTTTCTGGCTTTATGCTTGGATCTTAAGCTTGTTGTAGCCTTTAAGGGTTTCTTTCCAGCTTTGATAATTGAGAACCATAAACAAGGTTATTCTGTATGAACAAAGCTGCCACCTTTTCAGTTTTTGATGTCAGTCTACCATATGCATGCTATTTTTTTGGTAACCAGATAAATTTATTAATAAGAAGAAAATAGATATATAGTACAAAGCATCAAATATACTCTTGTATGAAAGGCCTCACCTAGGTAACCTTTCAATGCATGCAACCATACTCCACTCTACTAGAGTCTCAGATAAAGGTGAAAGAAAGCATAAGCCATCCTGGAGACATTAGAGCTCAAGCCTGTTCAACATAGTGAATAGAGGCCAGTGATTTACAAGGCACACCTGAGGCATGCCCAGGCGCACAAGCAAGGCACATTTTAGGGTAGGCGCCTCGCCCAGGTCCTAGGTGCAGTACTTCCAAAAGGTGCATGCCCGGTGTGCCTTGCGCCTTATCCCAGGCATGCACCTTTTTACACTTTTTTGCTTTCTTCGAACATAGTGGCTGGGCCAGGGGCTCCGCCCCCAGATGCAGACCACACCTCTCGAGGCAAGCCGAAACAAGTCCATATTAGGGTCTTAAATTCTTAATTTTCACACAAAAATAATTATTTTATAATTTTAATTGCCTTCTAAGAAAATATATTTTATTAAGATGAATGAATAAAATATAACTGTGTGGATTGTCACAGACATGGTTGGGTCATGGTAAGGAATATTTTATAAAATATAAGCAAATAGGGGGTTGGAACTGCATGAGTTGGCCAAAGACGTGGTTGGGTCATGGTAAGTGGTATCAGAGCAAGACACCCAGTGGTGGGATTGTCACAATATGCCTACATTATAATCTTATGCTGCTCATTTTTAATTGTATTAATGATTGATTACAATAAGAATTGCATCTGTTGTTATGTTCAATCTGATGCCTAATTCTGACATTCTGTTAATATATATTTTTTTGGATAACATGGTTGGGTTGCTAGTACAGTTCTCTAATTAGCCAAGTTAAAATATCCAGTTCAGATTGCATTTTAGCAATTCTCTTGTGTTCTCTACTTCTCTTTCAATCTGTAGATAGTTAAGCAGTTTTCCTCACTTTGCACCTCAAGTCTCATATTTCTATTGCTTCTGCTTTAATTATCTACTTTATCTACAGTGTTTTCCACTCTTCCCAGTGAAGGTCCTGTGAAATCTACCATGTTAATAATTTTGATGGTTTTATGCAGCTCCCTCTTTAATGATTCCAGTATCCTTATTTCTTGATAGCCTCCATATTACCCTCTATAAAATGTCTGATTGACAAATATAAGAAACTCAACTGCCTAAAGTGCAGTCAAGCTCATAAAAAAGTAGTAATCTGAGAAACATTTATGGAGCTGATCTCCCACCTTTTGGATTAATGATGTGGTTATAAGTTGGAATGCATCAAGGCCAGATGTTCAACGTTCAGGGCCTTCAGGCATACCATTTATGGAGCTGATCTCACTCTTCCCTTGGAGCATCTAAACACAATTTGAATGGCTGCTTTATTAGGAACCCAGATTAGGAGAATGAACTCTTAAAAGCTAGGCTGGAGAGATCATAGTAAGGGTGATCTTTGACCGGGCTTAGCACCTAGGGTGAGGGATTTTACATAGGCCTGGGCCTGGAAGTCTTGGGTCCAGCTTGGCCTGCAAATTCCTGGGCTTGGCTGGGCCAAGAATCATCATCATAGCCTTATCCCAACTATATGGGGTTGGCAGCTACATGAATCCTGTTTTGCCATTCCATTCTATTTAAATGCCATATCTGCCTAGCCAGGCTAAGAACAATCACCCCAGTATGTTCTATAGATATTCTACAGTAAACATATCATTCAAATGCATTCCAAGATCAGTTGATGCTAGTGGGTAGAGGCCAGTTGGTTACATTGGGTGTCCATCCCACGCTAAGGGTAATTGTATTTTGTTTTTATATCATGCCTTTACTATTTATTCTCTTTGATCCTTAAAGTTTTCTTATAGATGTATAAAAGAACTTCAGCCGCACATCTCCCTCAGCTTGGTGTAGGTCCACTTCTTGATAAGAGTGCCTTAGGCGGTTGGGCCCTTGTGCTTTATTGTCTTTAACTTCGATGCCCCGTAGTTGTTAAGCCGCACATCTCCCAGTAGGCTTTTACTGCTTGCTTGTTATATTACTTTCTAACCTTGTATTTAGCAATGTATGTTCTGCTTTTGTGGTTTATTCAATACATTAATTATTTTCAATTTTGAAAAAAAAATGCAGCTCACAGATAGCGGGACTCCCTCAGAATCAGGCCCAATCATGTTCTGTAACCCTATGAGTAGTGCCAATATTCACAAAGATCAAAGATGCTCCTTTTTCCTCGCCCTTTTTTGGGTAGTGAGAAGTGGTCTTGTTCTGCCTCATGCAGGAAAGTTTTGCAAAATTAGCAAGCTTTGACAAGAGTTGTCAAATGGTGAAACGGGGTCGAGGTGGTTGTACTATTGTGTTTTGTTGGACACTTGGATGTAGATCACCAGATATTTGCCATCTATGTTATTTCCAGTCCAGGCATTCATTACCCCTGTTGAGGTTACTAATGCCATTTGACAACGTACTGTCATATGTAATTGAACTTGTTTTTTTTTTTATCAATAACACTTTCATTAATTCATCAATAGAAGATTTACAAAAGGAAGACAAACACGCTTATCTTCCAAGAGCAACAAAAAACCTTAAGAAAAGGAAAAAAGAAAGAAAACACACTAAAGTTACAGCTTGGCCCAAAAAAGTGAATCTTCTATTGATGATTAGAGAAAGTTTAGTTTCTGGTGGTTAGGTAGTCCATTTATGCTACACGTTACTTGAATAATATCCTGGTTATGAAGCTCAGGAATGTGGTAAGATTACCTACATATTAATGATGAATTGATGAGAACGCTCTTAAGATAAATACACACACACCCCAATGAGAGCGTGCTCAGTGGATTACCATTCACATTTTTAGTTTGTTAATTTATTTACTTGGTAATGGTGAATGGTGATAGTGAATACATGCATTTGGGTACGGAATTAACGTGCCAAGGTAAGGAACAATTATCTCTGCATTTTTTCTATTTTTTTGGTAGAAAAGGAGACACAAGGTTATGTTACTCCTGAGTTCTGACAACTCAGTCAACCACATTCCTTCTTTTAACACCGGTATGTGCAGGGCCTTTTATTTTGAAAGATCATGTTAGTTATTTTTGGTGTTTCTGTTCTTTTATCCTTCAACCCAGTGATATTTGTACCAATGCCAACTGGTGGTTTTTCTGATAGGTCTATACCAACTAATGTCTAGGAACCAAAGTTTACCACATTGGTACATAGCACAAATTATTCAGTCGATTAAAAACGACGTAGTTAAATGGTTAAAGTGTTTCTGCAAATGATCAAAGTCTTCTCTAACATGATTCTTTTTGGGATAAACTCCGAATATACCCAACACCATGGGGACTGGGCAATGTGTCGCTTTACTACCCAGACTTTCTAGTGCGTCAGATTCCTCTCTGAACTTTCACAACTGAAGCAAGACACTTCTCCGTTGGCACAGAAAGTATCCTAATTGATGATCCAATTAGATTTTTACATTATCTTATTTCCTTTTTCAATTTTTTTTCTTGATCGTGGGAGATAACATAGCTGGACATCAACGCCTTTATTTTTCCTTGAACAGGGCGGATAATCTAGTTGGAGCACCAAGGTCTCTGTTCAACGGCAATAGTAACATGTATTGCCTACAAACTCTTGATAAACGGAGTTTTTAATATTAGCTTACAATCTCCTATTTAGATTGAACTGTCTATATATCTGAAAGCAATTGTAAGAACATAGTGCTTACAATGTTAGAATTTGTCCGTTTTTCCCGAAATCTAATATCATGCCTTTGAAACTATAATTGATTATCTTAACCTTAGACATGAGAAAGTTTGTTTAACTATTCAATAGATTAACTAAAAATTAATTAAAACAATATAAAATGATTAATAAATAATGGAATTGAGAAAGGGAAAAATTACAGATTACTACCCTGTACTTTGGGGGTAGTGGCAATTAGCCCCTTGAATTCGTATTTACGACAAAAGCTCCCTTGAATTTCAGATTTTGACAAAGACACCCTCCTTTAGCATTTCATTAACTTTGAAAAAGAAAGTTCTCGTGTAATTGTTTAAACTTTTCTAAATCTCCAAATTACCCTTTTCTCAATGAATTTTTAACGTTTTTCATTTCCATTTGTTAGTAGTTTAGTTGGTATTAATTACATATTATGTTTATTGGAATTTTCAAGTTTTAAAAAAGGTTTCTTGTATTTTTCTTGCAATTTCTATTTTTTATAGAAGTTTCTTGAGTGGGTATTTTGGTAAATTAATTTTCACCACTCAATTTAACAGAGGGTGTCTTTGTCACAAATGAAAGTTCAAGGGGTAATTGCACTACCCCTAAAGACTAAAGTACAGGTTTATAACTTACCCAAAAAATCATAAATTATTATTATTATTTAAAATAATTACAAAATAAATAAATAAATAGTTAATTATTAATTAATGAAAATTATACTTATTAAATAAAATAATAATAATGGTTATATCATAATCAATATTTTAATATTATTAAAACATAAATGAATATTAATTAATTTAGTTAATTTGTTATCACTGACATAATAACAATTAATGAATAATTAATAGAATAGAATAATTAACTATTATAAAAATCAGTAATATATAAATAAAAATTTTATGAAATAAATTAAATTAATAAGAAAATTATGAAAAATGATAAAAGATTTTATTTAATTTACTTATTTTTATTACATTATTGACCTTTTTATTATACTTTAATAATATTTTTATTTTTATTTACTATATCTAAAAACTCTAACGTGTCACTCAAAATGAGTATAGTGCCAAATAGGTTGTTAGAAAACAAAAGCAAAAGTGCAACACAATTAAATGGGACCATTCGTACCATTTCAAAGTATTTATCCTTATCTTTTATCAAAAAAAAAAAGGTATTTAGCCTTATCAGCAACCAAAGCTCTGAAATGCCTCCAAATGGTACAGTGGACTTGCTGCGAGAGATGTCAAGAGCCGCCAAACAGGCCCTTAGGCTTGTAACCTTGATATCTCTTTCATGGGTTCCCATGAAATGCATGTAAAATGTTGAAAAAGGAAATATGTAAAGGAGTTGCAACCGAGGTGTCATACAGTGGGTAGGCCTTAGCAAATATGTAAAATTATAGGGGGTGTCGTAGTACATGACCCTTAGAAAAAAAAATAATAGTTAATCAGGCAAATCATATGCAAATGAGATTCAAATATATATATATGCCATATTCCACTAGTACTACTATGGTCCGAAGAAGAAACAGCTGAACAATGTCAAAGTATTGCAACATAAAAATAAATTCCAAATTAAGAGTCGCTCCCTCACATATATTCGCCCACCCAGAAGAACTCTATTTGTYAAGAAAATCAAGAATCCATTTCCTTCTAATATCTGAAGGCATCTCCATGTACCATTCTCTAGCAGTGGGCTTCTCAAAAACCTCAAAGAGTTTCAAATAGTCACGACAAGTTAGCCCCTCTATGGTGYTTATCTCGTCCAAGAAATTGGAAATGGAGTACTTTTCTGGTTTACCTATAAGCACATTAATTGAGTCCACTAGCTTATCTATTCTTGCATTTGCAGAGGAATTTAATTCTTTAATTAACTCGGCATTGTAAAGATCATCTGCATAAGCTGCAATGAGTGCATTAATAATGATATTCTCTTGTTCCAATTCCAATGCACAGACTGCAATGATGACTTTCAACAAGGTGTCTCTATCAACCATTGCTCACTGCTAAGAAATGTGCATTTCATAAATGACCAGCACAACACAAGCAAGTAGAATTGGACCACATAACACATTAGAAAAAATAGTAGTCAACCACGTCATATCACATACATTAAAATTCAAATAAAACATTTCACAATTACAACTACTATGGTCCAAAGAACAGTGCTAAATATTGTAAATAAGTTACAAATTAAAAATCACTTCCAAACATAATCAGTCACCTAGACGAACTCTACTTGTTAAGAATGTCAACAATCCAATTCCTCCTAACATGTGGAAACATCTTATTGTGTACCCTATCCTACAAGTGACACTCACAGAAACTTGAAGAGTCCGCTATAGTCACATTGAGTCAGCCCCTCCAAATGGAGTACTTTTCTGGTTTATCAATAAGCACATTAATTGACTCCACTAGCTTATCTATTTTTATACTTGCATAGGAATTCAGTTCATTAATTGATAAAGTCAAAAATTTCTCTTCCTACAGGCTTCATGTCGAGTGGTTGTAGTAGAGCCTGCTCAACTTCAGTATTGGTACTTGGTAGCATGACCAATGTCTTGGTCCATAGGATTCTGAAACTCATAACATTGTTATTGTCAATTTCATTCTCAACATCTCGAGGGGGAGGGGGGTCTACATTTCTCTTCCTATGGGCTTCATGTTGAGGAGTTGTTGTAGTAGAGGCCTGCTCAACTTCAGCATTGGTACCATGACCAATGTCTTGGACCGTAGGATTCTGAGACTCGTAACGTTGTTGTTATTGTCAGTGACATCCACCACATCTCAAGGGGGAGGGGGGTCTACATTATGTGCTAATGATGTAGAAAACCAGCCAGCTGTGATGGTCCCCCCAAAGATCATATTGAGATGAAGATACTGGAGTATGGAATTTCTTTAACTTGTGGTTGACCTAAGGTGAGAGTAAATACTAGTGAATCAAATCCAGATAAAATATAAAAGAAAGATCTTCAATTAGACAGAAAAACAAATAGCGTTTGGGTAGTACCACCAAATCATAGTAATTCAACTATGGTACCGGAAAAACATGATATTGGAAAAAAAAACTTTTAACCAATCAACTGCTATCACAAAAGTGGTAACCAATCAGGTGGTACTCATCAAAATTCACCATAGCGTGAGGTTTGACTGGTCAAAGCTATTCCAATATCATACCTTTTTGGCATCATAGATATATCCTTATATCATATATTTTATACATGTATGATATGATAATATTATAATATAAAATATTATATATTAAATATAGTGCATATAGCGACATAGGCCCAAAGCCCCACCCAGCCTGGTCGGGGCCTGACCCATGATCACCCTATTGTGACCCAACAAGATACCATAACATACAGGTACACCATTAAAATTAAAAAGCAATAGAAAATATATCATTTCTACTTCACACATATTGAGCTGAATAAGCAGAACATTGAAGTCAGCAAAACTCAACCTTAAGTTGAGCCAGTTACGAGTAACTAGTAGATGAATCAACAATCTGTGACAAATACCTGCAGAAAATATATAGACAAGCTTCAGTATATTGTTGATATAGTCCACCCCATTCAAGTACATACAGTTCAAGCACCAACTACAAATCAGTATGATAGGAAACAACTGCATGCTTCATCCATAGTATAAGAAACAGTCCATAGGTAATCAATAAATAAGAAAATGTAGAACTACATGCAGTGAGATAATGCAAGTCCTGATATAATGAAGAAACGGCCAATTTAGATAATCAACCAAGGCCTGATATAATGAAGAAACAGCAAGTCCTGATATAATGAAGAAACGGCCAATTTAGGTAATCAACCAAGGCATGCAACTGAAAAAGAGAAACAACAGGCAATCAAGCAATTCACTATAGTTCAGTTGAACTGGAGAAACAATGCATATAATAAGTAACAATTTATTTTAGATAAAGAAACAGTTCATAGGTAATCAGAAAATGAAATAATATGGAACTACAGGCAGTGAGTTAATTCTCAGATGGAAACTAGAACAAACCCCTCCCTCTCCAACAGGATAGGTGGGCACAATTTTTTCCCCTTCCCTTCTCATATGCTGTCTTGAGAGTTCTGTTAAAACAGCTGAACAATCTCCAATTATGCCACAAACATGAAATACCTAACAGCCACTTCCATTATAATTCCTAACCTCGCTAAGAAATCTGTGAAATTATTTTTGATGCTTTTCTTTAATGAGAAAAGTACGAGTCCAGTGTTAAAGTATTAAAGAAAATGATATCTAACAATCAATCGCTAAATATTTAAAGGTCAGGTTGGGACTAAAATTGTTGTGACTTGTGAGCTAGGCTGGTTTAGGCTTGAGGCTAGGCTTGGAAAAATTCTTAACCCAAAGCTCCATCAATAGAGAGTAGAGAAATCTGCTATTTTTGGTGCATGGAATTTGTATGAGTATGACAATAAAAGTGTGGATTAGAAAAGCTGGTAAGTCTGGTAGATATGTAGGCAAATAAAAGTAAGAACTAAATAACCTTTGTTTCATTGTTGAGGATGATCAAGGCGGATCTCAACAAGCAACTCACTAACACAAACCAAAATGAGACAGAAAGAGAATAATCCAATCTCATAGCTGGACCAGCCTGTTGTATAGTGTCCTTAAAATTTTCAGCACAAGACATTTGGATACCAGAGAACCTGTTGTAGGAGTAGCATCTTAGTCAATACTAAAATTACATCAGTGCAAGTTTGTTTCATTAGAATAATGAAGATTTTGAGACTAATAAGAAAGATACAAAGACAGAAGACAATCATCTTGAGTAACCAAATTCAGAAAACAATCATGAGGAGAAAATGAAATATGGGATATATTGAACTATTGCAATTTCAATTTCTTATATTAAAGCATCCACTTATCATTTCAAATTGAACAAGCATCTACTATCAGCATATGGCATGGCCTGTTTCATTTACCAACTAAAGCCATTTGGCTATGTGACATAATATTTCAGAGAAAGAACAGCTTGTCTGATTATGTAATATACAGAAAGAATCCAAATTCAGCATAAGAAGTTAGAACAAGATAATAAAATGCACAGCACATGCTTGTTTGATTACATCATGAAGATTCCGAGATCAACAGTATAGAAACAGAGGGCAAGCATATTAAGTTACCAAGGTCAAAAAACAAGCATTCATGCAAATTCAAAATTGAACCTATCCTCATTCCAAATTGAACATGGGATGTGCATATTGAAGAATCACATGATCCATTCTCATGCAACCCCGATTTTGATTTTACCATGAGAATAGTTCTATTCTCAACTTATTTTTGTGAATGCAATGTTTGATTTCCTTGGGTTAAGGAACTCAGCTTTCCAACCAACCTCAATATTATTTTAGAAATGAAAATTCAAAAAGCTTCTACCAAATTGGAATATGCAACATGAATTTCATATATGCATTTAGATATGATGTCCCTTTTAAGAATGTCAAACAAGCATTTATATGGTGGAAAACTTAAAAAATGTTAACTAATTATTATATGTTAACTCATGAATTTCAGGATAAATAAACTTATAAACATAGAAAATTCGAAATTAATCAATTATTCACTGACATTCCTCGAACTAAAAAAATAGCCCACATATAAAGTTCGACTTCTGCAAATAAAGAATGTCAGGTGTAGAAAAATATTTATTCTAAAATATTTCTGAGCAAAGAATATAGATTGTAATATCAATAGGGCCAGTAATGGAAAATTAGCAAACAGTTAATCCACGCAAGATACCAGTAAGGGAAATTTGAAGAACAAAAAATTGGTATGTGAAAGATGGAAGACTGTACCTTGTAGCTTCCTCAGAGAATATGATGCAACGTCCCCAAATCCCTGCAGCAAACATCAAAAACTCAGACCATTACAAGAATAAAACAAACCCTAGAGGTCAATCCAAACCCTACCTATAAACGTAGCATCAAATCAAAACCCCTAACCCTAGATGGAGGAAGGATGAAATTGAAGAGTTCGGATTGGCGCCCCACTCCCACATCTCAGCGTGCATTGGGAGTATCTCCGGAGATGTTCCCGATGTACGGTTGCAGTGAGTTATTTGGAACGATGTTGGGAGAGTGGTTGGTAGCAGATCTGAACTCGAGTTAGAAGACCTCTAATCCTCTATTAGTTCAAGATCACGTGTGAATCTTGCACACGAACGAGAGAGACGAGCGGGCAGTTTTCTCTCTCCGGAAAACTCTGTGCTCATCTTAAAGATAGTTTGAGTAGACGATATTGCTATTATATTATACTGTCCCTATGATCAATATAGAGTTTAGAGGAAAAATATAGGGTAAATTTCTTAAACTACCCTTGTGGTTTAGTGAATTGATAAAATGTATCTTTATTATTTGAAAATTGTTTAACACTATTTTTATTATTTTTAACAATCGACTAATACTTTCCTTATCATTAATGTTCCGCCATAAACCATTCAAATGTGCCATCGTATGACTATTATAGCTTTCAAAAATATCAAAGTTACCCATTTATGTTTGAAAATGCCCTTTTCATTTGAGAGAAACCTTCTCTTCCTCACGCAACTTCCATTGTCATTCCCCATTTTCTTATCGTTGAACACCATGATTTCAAGCTCTACTTCCATTGTTTCCAACTATATTCAACTTTCGGTCTAAGATTGGTAATTAGGCCAACGATGTGTTTCACGAGTCATGGAGCTCGGGCGCATCATATGTGAAGCACACTCAATTGGAGGTTTACTAATCACCGAATATAAGAAAAGGTTTGGGAGACAGCTGTACATGTGGAAGAATCTCCTAACTGATTTAGTTATTTGTAATACACCCCCTCAAGATGGAGCATGAGGATGACGGAAGCCCAACTTGGGAAGCAAGGAGAGGAACCAGTCACGGCCAAGAGTTTTGGTAAGAATATCAGCCGGTTGTATGGATGATGAAATGTGTGTTGTAGCAATGATCTTGGAGAGCAACTTCTCACGTATGAAATGACAATCGATCTCCATGTGTTTCATTCTTTCATGAATCATAGGGTTGGCAGCAATACGAAGAGCAACTTTGTTATCATAGAATAATCGCATGGGCTAAGGATGAAGGAGACCAAGATCTAAAAAGAGGCGTTTAAGCCATAACAACTCAGCAGTTGCAGCTGCCATGGACCGATACTCAGCTTCAGTTGATGAACGGGCAACAGTAGATTGTTTCTTAGTTTTCCAGGATAATGGTGAAGAACCAAGAGTGGTAAAGTAACCAAATGTTGATTTTCGGGTAGAAGGGCACCCTACCCAATTGGAATCACAATAGGCTCGTAGTTGAAAATCACAGTTGGCAGGTAGCAGAATACCACGCTCAAGGGATCCCTTAAGGTATCGCAAGACATGCATGGCAGTATCCCAGTGTTGTTGGTGTGGGTCTCCCATGAATTGGCTCAAGATGTGAATTGCATATGTTATCTCTGGACAAGTGATCGTCAAATAAATGAGACGGCCAACTAGTCTTCTATATTGGTGGGGACATTTAATTGGTGGACCAACATCTTGTCCAAGATGATGTTTTTGCTCTAAGGGAAAAGCACTGGGTTTGCATCCCAACATGCCACAATCTTTAAGGATATCCAAAGTATATTTGCGCTGACTAAAGAATATGCCATTAGAGTCTCAAGAGACTTCTATCCCCAAAAAATATCGAAGTGTGCCAAAGTCCTTGATGGGAAAACAATTATGGAGATATTCTTTGAGAGCAACAATCCGAGATGGATCATTTCCAACAATAACCAAGTCATCAACATAAGTAAGAATGGCCAAGAAGCTACCAAGCCGAATGTATGTAAAGAGAGAATGATTAGCCGATGACTGAGTGAATCCCCGTTGTTTTAGTGCATTTGTAAGAGTCTCAAACCCGTTACGTGAGGCTTGTTTGAGACTGTAAATGGACTTGTTGAGTCGACAAACGCGATTATCTCCTGTTGGAAGTAAGCCAAGAGGAGGGGTCATATAGACTTTTTCATGCAATTTGCCATGGAGGAAAGCGTTGTCCATGTCCATTTGGTGAAGTTCCCAATCACGGGCAACCACCAAGGCTAACAAGCACCGCACAGTAGTAAGTTTAGTTACAGGTGCAAAGGTTTCATTGTAGTCCACCCCAGCTATTTGAGTATAACCTTTGGCTACTAGACGTGCTTTATAGTGCTCAACTAAACCATCAGGCTTTCATTTAATTTTGTACACCCACCGGCAACCAATAGGAACTTTACTTGGTGGAAGAGGTGCTAAAGTCCAGGTTTGTGTTCTTTCTAGAGTTGCAAGTTTCGTTGCCATGGCTTGGCGCAACAAGCAAGTTTGTTGGCCTGAATGTAAGTTGTGGGTTCAATTGGTGAGTCTAGAAGTGTAGTGGTGAAGGCAGATGTGGGATCCATGGTAATACAATGAGATATGGGATGAGCAGTGGAAGGAGGATTGGATTTGAAATGTAGTCAATGGTGGGTTTGATGGTAGGACAATGAAAATCAACTAAGTGAGGAGATGGACATTTGGTGCGGGTGGGTCGTGTTGTGGTAACTTGTATGGGAGGTTCAAATTGCACACTAGGCGAGCCTTCTTGATTTGAGCTGGTTGAGGGACTATCATCAGAGATGATGGGCTGCAAAGGACTAGTAGGAGGTGAAGAGAAGGTGACCTTTGTGGGTAGAGTGGGAACCATTGCCTTAGTTTGATTTACGGGGAAATGAGCACCACCATCCATGGCTAAACAAGGAATCACTAATTAGGTGTCAATGCTAGTGGATTAAACTGTAAATGGAAACTTGTTCTCAAAGAAGGCCACATCACGATAGACAAATATCTGTTGAGAGCTTATATCATATAGGCGGTAACCTTTATGTCCTGCTGTATAGCCAATGAAAACACAAGAAGTAGCTCATGGCGCAAACTTGTCTCAACCACGTTTGAGAGTACTGGCATAACAAAGACATCCCAAAACTCGAAAGTGCTCATAAGTAGGTGGTTTGTTGAATAGTAATTCAAAGGGTATCTTGTTACCCAATAGTGGTGTGGGTAAGTAATTTATTATGTATGCTGCTATCAATATGCATTCACCCCATAATTTAATCGGTAGATTAGCTTGGAAACATAGAACCCTTGGTACTTCAAGGATGTGTCGGTGCTTACGCTCAACTACCTCGTTTTGTTGGGGGGTGTCGACACAAGAGTGTTGATGCATGATACCATTAGTAATAAGACATTCTTGCATCGGTCTAGAAAAAATTCAGATCCGTTATCAAACTGTACACACTTTACATGAGCATTGAATTGAGTATGTACCATAGAACAAAATTGCTTGAAATAGAAGTAGCAATCAGACTTACATTTCATCAAGAAAACCCAAGTGGCTTTAGTACAATCATCTACTATTGTCAGAAAATATCTGGCACTGGATAGAGATGGAGTGCGATAACCGCCCCATATGTCACAATGAACCAAGTCGAATTTGCTTGAAGCTCTACTTATGCTTATTGGAAAGGGCTATCGAGTCCGCTTGGCTCGTAAGCATGTATCACAACACTTGTTTGGGGTTGACGTGATTTGCAGATCAGGAATCAACGATATACAATTGTAAGAAGCATGTCCTAGGCGAGAATGCCATAGGATCGAGGAGGGATGTGTTGATGTAGAAGCTAATGATGTTGACGATGAAGCTGATGTGAAAGATGTAACTTCAGTATGAGGTACAAAATGATACAAACCATCACGGGCTAGGCCCACTCCAATCAATTTCTTGGAGGTCAGGTCCTATATAGCACAAAAAGTAGGGAAAAACATAACCACACAATTCAAATCAGTCGTGAGTTTACTAACTAATGGAAATAATGTTGCATTGTAAGTTTGGAATGAACAAAGTGCCCTTCAAAACAATCTCAGGTGTAAGTGGAACATTTTCTTGGCACTATATAGATAACAGAGTGCCATTAGGTAGCTGCACTGGTCGTGTAGTGATTTTTTTTTGTAGTTGTAGGAACCCAAGGACCTGAGCCAAAGGGAACCATATGGTCTGGGATGAACAAAGTGTCCTTCAAAACAATCTCAGGTGTAAGTGGAACATTTTCTTGGCACTATATAGATAACAGAGTGCCATTAGGTAGCTGCACTGATCGTGTAGTGATTTGTTTTGTAGTTGTAGAAACCCAAGGACCTGAGCCAAAGGGGACCATATGGTCTGGGGCTCCTGTGTCTAATATCCATTGAGAACGAGAATGAGTACTTGCAAAGTTTGCCGAGGCTCCCTGATTCTCACCATTGAGTAGATTCATCAGTTGATGATATTGTTCTGTAGTTAATCCATAGACTTTTTTTTCTTATCCCATAACACTTGATGATGGGAGTTTGGGGTTTGACTAGTCCTTATCAATGATTGAAGGCCTTCCAGATCGCTTTGATTCCCAACCAGGTGGGTAACCATGTAATTCATAGCATCTGTCCTTATTATGTCTAGGTTTCTTGCAATGATCGCACTTGATCTTAGGGCGATCTTTAACGCTTTTACTATTGCTGGGTTTGGATGGTCTAGCTACATGAAGAGCAGCTACTTCCATGGTCGATTCTTGATGTGAGACTAATGTTTGGTGTCTTTCATCTTGTGAAACCATGGCATAAGCTTTGCTTACCGTGGGCAGGGGTTCCATACTCAAGATGTAAGATCTGATATTGTTGAAGTGGTTACTAAGTCCCAACAAGAACTAATAGACCTTTTCTTTATCTCTTTCAACCTGGAAATCATTTGAAGCTCCGCCAGGGGCATGAACAAATCAGTCCCGGTGCATCGATTGAAAGTTCATCCTAGATTGCTTTCAATTTTGTGAAATAGATGGAGACGGAGAGATTCTCCTGTCGTAATAATGCCAATCCCTGCTTCAGTTGATAGATGCAGGGTGCATTCTCCTGAGAAAACTACTCTTCAAGATCTTTCCAAATCTCCTGAGCGCTTTCTACATAAGCCACACTTTCATGCAACTCTTTTGCCAAAGCATTGTAAATCCAAGAAAATACCATAGAGTTGCATTTCATCCAGGCATGAAGTTATGCAGTCTTTGTCCCGTTTGGTTTCTTGAGTGTGTCGTCAATGAATCCAATTTTGTTCTTCGCCAAAAGTGCATTCACCATGGCCCTTCTCTAGGTCGCATAATTGTCGCCGTTTGATGGGCAAGAAACAAGAACCATTCCTGAACTGTCTGATGCAATCAAGAAATATGGTGAAGACAGATCTGTGTAGGCTGGATCTCCGTTACCTATTTCTGCTGCCATTTCTATAGAGGAAGAGTAAGAAAAGAAATAAAGAAAGCAAAGGATCGTTCGCAAAAAAAAAACAGGGGGTTGTTTTTCAGAAAAACAGGGGATCATTTTCACGGAGTGTTGTAGACTTCGTGAATGCTCGAAGCTCTGATACCATATAAGAAAAGGTTTGGGAGAGAAAAAATTAATTAATTCATTGATCTTGGCATATATATATATACATGTGTAACTAACTAAGTCCACTTGTACAAGACAGCTGTACACGTGGAAGAATCTCCTAACTGATTTAGTTATCTGTAATACCGAAGCTCTGGTATCTTTGAGTTACAGTGCTTGAAGCTCAAGACCTCCACCTTGCTTCGAACCATCCATCGACAACGATGCTAGATATACGAGTGAAAGCACAATTGAGGTTTTAGTTTATACAAAGTGGGCGGGTTTGCAAGTAACTTGTTTGCATTGATCACTTGATCGAAGCGACGGACAACTGACCAATTGGGTTCTTTGTAAACTTAAGAGACTCAATAGATTTGGGCACTTGTTCGAAATTTATAAGATCTCCAACCTATCGCCAATCTTGCCATTAGAGGTGTCAGTGTTGGAGGGGGTCAATGCAAATGACGATGGCGGAGCCAAGGTTTAAAATATCGTAATGTATTATGTCATATCAATCGATATGTACCGTTCCGATAAGAAATGGATACATGAAACATGTAAAAATCATGTGTTCCATTTCTTTTCGTATGTATTAATTGATACGGGCCCGTATCAGGCTGTTCCGGATATGTATCGGTCGATACAAAACCAAATCGTTTCGGTTCCCCTTGTTCCATTAATTTATATTTAATACCGAATCTCTCTCTCATTAATGTCGCTTATTACTACTATATTTAAGCCTAACTTATTTATTAATTAGTTAATTACTCCTATGTTTAAGGCAAATTTAAATTTAAAATTGAATTTTAGCACCTAATTACAATTCTCTCATTAATTCTATTAATTATTGATTCTCTCTCATTAATTTTGTCTTGTTAGTGTAAAAACTAAAAATATTAACAATAATAAGACTTGAACCCTAGTTACTAGATTTTAATGGCCATAATTTCCCCACTAAACCACTTCAATTTGTTTGCTATAATTATATGCATTTTTAGTTTTAAGTCAATTTTCTCTTTTTTTAGTGGTGCTTATTAATAAATGCTGAAATTAATTATTAAAATTTATATACTAATAAATATTAAGATAATTATATTGGTTATTTGAAAATTGATGTATATATATTCATATTTTAGTTTTTTTTGTTTTTTTTCACATTTTAGTTATTCCATCATTTTTCAACAGTTACTAATTATATCTCGATGTGTCACATTTTATATAAACATTAAATTACGTGTTTTTACATTTAAATGACTTATTTACAATTATATAAAACTTGTAAGTATTGTTAATAATATATTTTTTATGATTTATTTGAATTTCCTAACATATTTATGCATATCTTGATTTTTCGTCTGTAACCATGAGTATCCAAAATGTATCCTGATATATCTCTTAAAATTATCTTTCCGATACTTTGAACCTTGGGTAGAGCTGAACCCAACCCCAATGATTCTTCCTGAGGAGGTTTATAGACCATTGCTCTGGCGTCTCCGACCCTTTCTCTCTAACTGAAAGGTAAGAAATGACAGAATCCAGAGCTTTCAAGCATTGTAACTCTGTTATTCTCTTGTTTAGAGCTTCTAAAAGTTCAAAAGCCCCTAGTTCTCAAAGAAATAAAGCTTCGTTTTTTCTCAGAAAGACCCGAAAACATTGTATCAGTGAGGGAAAAAATAGAGAGACCACTGAAACCAGTAATGGCGATTGGCGAGGGGAAGGAAAGACTGCTGTCCGGTTTCATGTCCTTTAACTCATATCCTTTCATTCAATTGAACAAAACGCCCGAAAGTAGAGAGGGGCACAAAACAAGGGATAAAAACGTAAATTTAATTTCGATCGTAAGTTTGAGTTAAAGGATAAAACGGACATTTCAGCCGTTTAGTAAGGTACATTTAGTATATTCGCTAAATTTACCCAAAATATATCGTCTTCCACTCTTCTGCAAGCCTATTCTCGAAACCTCGACCAGGTGACAAGACTCGAGTTTGGACGAATTTGCGACGAGCCTCTGGCGAGTTCTGACCAAAGAAACACTAAGGTGGTGAATTATTTTCTTACTTTTCATTTTTTGTTTTAGTTTCCGAAATATCAGTAATTTTTTATGAATCGTTTTGGGCAGATTTTGCTCCTTTTTAGGACGATTATGGCCTTTTTTTGCAACCAATCTGATCTTCTTGTTTGAATTCTTGCTCCCACTCTTCACGTACTTGTGTATATATATATATATATATATATATATATATATATATTTTCTTTTCACTTTGATTATACATGTGGCTGGTTGCTTTTACAGAGCTGCTATTGTGACTGATCCCCCTTGATAATAATCTTCGATGGGGAAGAGAAGGAAGTTTAGAAAGTTTGAATATTTATGTTTGGTGGCTTCTGCTGAAGGTCCATCCAACAAAACTAGGGGAAGGTCAATGGGAATCGACAATGGGGGATTTGGCCTGCTAAAGGGGGTTTATATTACTTTTGGATGCTTCTCCACTCCATCATACTATATCGAAACCTGTATATACCTAATGGGATTTTGCATAGAAGGTCCAGGCTATTATTCTTACCCTATGTTCTAGAAAAATAATCTCCTGGAGCTTGTTTAGTTGACTTTATGGTGTTGGTTCAGCGGTGCCAAAATGATCGATGCCCGTGCTCGTAGAGCTTTTTTATATACATAGAGGTTCAATGGTTCTGTGTACAGATCAAGGGAGCGAATTGAAGGCCTCATTCAAAGGAAAAAAGTTCTCATTCTTTTTTCTTTAATTCACAGTCCGTAAAATTGTACTTTTTTTTATCAGTGAAAATGATTTTATTAATAAAAAGGTATGAGAATTAGTACATAGATTGGGTAGTCTGGGCTACCCCAATCCAAATCATTCCACATTTCCACCCAATATTTGCTTTACATTCTTACAACATAGCCCAGAAACAGTGTTCCCTATTAGCCCCTTGTAATGTGCTTAATTTTCTTGATCTCATTTCTGTATACCCATGGAGTCTTTCCATCCTGTTTTAGCCAGCTTATAATCACTTTGGAGTCGCCTTCAACAACCAACTTTCTCACACCTATTTCCATGGCTTTTTGTATATTTTTTTGACTTAGTTAGACTTCTTTAATACCCACTTCTGAGTCATATAAACCCAACCATGCTCAGAAGATAACTGAGTTAAGTATTCTTCCAAGACAGACGGATGGTTGGTTTAATTGTGCCCCCGTCCTGCAGAGCTCTTCTGAACTGGTTTTGCTAGATTCATAGTATGATTTATAGGCTTGCCATTGAATCTGATTTCCTAAATTCAATTCATCCAGTTTGTTGCATAAATTTAAGTTGTGGGTTAAATTCTCTATATGACCCATATTTCATGAATGAATGAATGAATCCATGTTATTTGTCCCCCCAAAAAAGAAGTTTATATGACCATGTCCAATTCATTTAATGCATCAATTTAATTGTTTTAGACTTTTTATAGATTAACGGAAGGAAGGTTGTCACTTCCCTAAGGTCTATATGGCCATGTCCAATTCTTTGGAAGCTACATATCATTTCTAAAACCTGAGAGCTGGAGTGTTTTTACTATTTTTACTAAAAGTGGAATCTAGCATGCTATTTTCTATGAAAAAGTACGTATACAACTGTAGAGTCACAACTATATAAGGGTTTTCTGTTTTGCCTACATATTACTGAATTATTTCCTACAAGTTAGGAAGAAACTAATTTGTAGGTCACTAGGTATCTTGGGGATTCAGCAAATCTGACAACACTATTTTGAACATCCTCTAATGCTGCTTTTGAGATTCGGATGTTTTTAATTTATAAGGGGGAATATATGGTGTTTGTCTAGATTTACCTTGCACAATTTAGGTCTTCTGGTACTCAGTCTATAAAACTACCCTTCAGTCATATTCTCCATTCTACCTAGGAAAAAGTCCATATAAAGATAAGGACAAAGACACAGATATGGGAAATGGAGGGAATGTACATGCTGTATGCCTGTATCCAGTGTCATATAGGTTACATATCTTATCTGACGTGGTTATCACTGTCTCATAGTCTACCAACTAAAAAGAAACTAATCATGTTTTCCTTTCTTATTGCCTGTTATGCATACTTTCAGTTGTTCTGTAGATTAAACTTACATGCAAATGCAGATGATTGAAGAAATTGAATGAGATGACTAACATCTAATATCATATCAGTGATGACTCTGCATCTAGGACCATTTGAAGATGCCATTCGAACCATTTATAAATGATCATGATTTCTGATCACCTAAATTACAATATATAATACTTCACGCTATCATACTGAGTATAATTGGAGGGAAGAATTTCCTTAGTTACTTCAGTGCTGCATTTGAAATGCATAACTAGGATGGCTACTACAATAAAAATATGAACAGAAGATCTTTTGGACTCTGATACTTGATATGACTGGAGTTCTGAAATTGCTGGTGATAGAGACTAGAGAAAGAATAATTCTGAAGTTCTAGTGTATGTCTGGTGAACTATAAGAACCGTGTAGAATTAGATCTGCTCTAATGACTTGTCACAAACACTAGGGTTCAATTGAGAAGAAGCAAAGAGTAGAAGATGCAGAAAGAAGAGGAGAGAGAGTCATAAGTTGTTATTCACAAACCCATAATTGTGTATTAACTGGTTTCTTAAAAAAATACTTTGCCTTTATTTTTAAGGAGAACACTATAATCAGGCAGGCATAACTCTTCTATAACAATAAGATGAGCTAGTTGCTGAACAAACTGCGCTTGATGTGGTTCATGTTTTAGATGGAAAATTCTCTGTATTTTTAAATCATTGTATGCTTAGTCAATTGCTTTTATATATTTTCTAAGTTACCCCTTTTATGTCCATGCAGCTTATAAAAATTTCCCATCATGTCATGGTGTACTATTGAATCTGATCCTGGTAAGGCTCATTAGACTTTCTATTATGTATTTTGCTAGTCCATGAAATATACTACTTTAAAAAGTATGAATGGCCTCGAAAATATTTATGGAATTTTTTAAGGACAATATTTACCCCTCTATATTTAAATTTAATGATAAAAAATGAGGGTAAATAGGGTAATTGGTTCTTGATATTAAATGAGTTGAAAAGAGGTAATTTAAAGATATTCAATGCATTCAATTTCTCTCATTAAATCTAACATTTAAGTTATTAACTTGCATTCATGTTCATTGAATCATATATTTAAGTCATTTTTATTTCTTCTCATCATTAAGCTCTATTAATTAAATTCATACTTAATAAATTAATAATTCCAATAACATAAAAGCTTATACCTTTAAATTCTACCTAGCAAAAATAGTGTTTTCATCTAAGTGGTGGTAAGAAATTAAACCATTTTGGGTCAATTGGGTTAATCCATGCTGCCACGATTAAATAATAAAATTAAAAAATAGATAAAATGAAAAAATAGAAATTAAAAAAATTGGGAACATTTTTAACATACATATTAAACAATAATAGGTATGTTAAATAAGAAATGTTTTATTTATAAAAAAAAGATATGTTTTTAAAATGGAATGTAAAATTTAAAACCAACTGAAAATAAAAATGTTTTCCTATTCTCTCTCATTAAATCCTATATTTAAAATATATTTTTCTCATCATTAAATTCTTGTAATTTTTTTTTGATGAATGATAATAAATTTATTAATTTAGAAGCAGATTTAGAGTGATTTCATACAACATCCCAAGGAGAGGCGCGAGCTGCAGCCCCTCCTTGAATCTTACAAGTAAACTAGGAAAGAAAAGCAAGAATCACAACTGAGCCC